CTTGAATAAGCTTGTTGCGTGTTGTTTAGAATTAACAAGTTACAAATGGGCATTACCAAATCTTGAGTGTTTGTGTGGGTAGGTGCTTCAAGTTAAGAACGATTTCGGTCGGGGATGAATATTTCAGTTCTAATTGTGTTAAATACAGTTTCGTTGGATTTTGGCCAAATTTTGTAACATTTTTTTCTTGATTTAATACGGTTTTATTAAAAGTAGCCAATACAAAAAGTCACCTATGACCTATCAATTATGATTAGTAGGAGAGGAGTCTTTTAGGGTTGAAGATAGAACAGTAACGTGAAGACCGTGACCCACTACTCACTTCGACGTTGACCATACATCAATGTACCAAATATATGCAAGCTTATTCAATTAGAAGAAAGGATTTCGTGTACAGACTCTAGCATGGTGAAACTTGTGTGAAGATCAACAATATTTTTTTATGAAATTTGTAAAAGCAGGAGATATTACTAAACTTTTATCAGTCTTGCTTAGTGAGTATTTATCTTTCTAGAAGGACAAAAATGGCTGTGTTAGAATTCAAAATTTATTATTACATTTTCCATTAATTTTTGTTTTCTTGGTAGTTGGTACCATATAAATAATGTTGGAGACTTGGAGGACATTTTAAATTCCGTTTGGTTTCATTATTGAATTAGAAGAACCAAACCAAAATCAAAATACACCATTACAAAACCAAGATCGGTTCTATACACATGATCCAAGAGTCAAGAATCAAGAATCAAGATAGGTACCTAACTCACCCATCTACACACGATATGATGACAAGACTTGAAGATGAGGAGAAGACTCATGTTCCAAAAAAAGAACGATCAACTATGGCAACTATACTGAATGAGACATGCACCTACCCACACAAACACTCAAGATTTGGTAATGCCCATTTATAACTTGCTAATTCTAAACAACACGCAACAAGCTTATTCAAGACATGCACATGCATTGGGGGATCCAGCGTTGGAGTATATGGGTCACATGCTCTGAATAAGGTTTGTGAAGAAAAATAGAAAAGAAAAAAAAGGTTTGTGAAGAAACCTTTTAAGGTTCTGACTTCTGATCATTTTCAGTTTTTATTTAAAGAATATAGAGAAAAACAAAAGTAATTGATTTACAGAAGTATTGTATTTTGCAATTGAC